ACAGGATAAGCCTTCAATTTATCATAAGCATTAAAATCTTTTTCCTATTCATAAACTTTTTTGCTTGGCTTGCTTGTTTTCTTTCCCCTCTTTAGGTCTTAGCTCTTATTTTTTAAATGTCTACTGAGTCCTTCAAATCCTGTAAGACTTATTCCAATTACCCAGTCTGCAATTATTACCTATCAGATACGCTATCACTTAGCATATGGTACTTTGGAATGTTTTTGTATTTAAGTTTTAGTTCTGCCTACCAGGCTAGATTTTAAGCTCACTGAGATGAAGATACATATCTTATGCCTTCCATGTCTCTCCCTCTTTAGTTCTCTTCTTATCTCCCCAAATTACAATCATTCATTCTCTCTTTTTCTCTGTCTCTCTTTCTCTCTCTCTCTGATGACAGTCTGCTGACACATGAAATGTCTTCACTGAGAATTGTATAATTATCATTGGTTCAGAAATAGGTATATAAACACATTAAAAAACATTAAAAAGATACAAAACAAAATTAAAAATTTAGGTAGGTCTATGATATTTTTTAGATAAGCTATAAAAATCATATTTTGCTGATTACTTTAAAAAATTTCAGATCACATTGCCTAGATGAGTAATTTGGGGAACATATCATTAAAAGTTTAATGCCAAAGTTTTGCTTGTGATTATTGACAAGTGTTATCATATCTTGGAAAGATAACAGAGCCAAGATTTTAAAAGTTGCACAATTATACTTTGTATGGTATGTGTCCCTAAGTTCCTTCTCTTTAGGCTTCCAAATAACGTGTCATAGCATATTTGGTATGAAGTAACTCACACCAAATGAGAATTAAAAGATCTATTTTGAACTGATGATATGATCCAAAAATAAAAGAAAAACACATTTTAAAAAGGGACATAGCTAAACAGTTCATGCCAAAAATGAGAACAACCTCACTGATGACCTAGAAAGAAACATCTCCTGGGTTTTAATTTATTTTTTCCAAATTCTATCTCATTGTTTGTACCCTCTTTTGGACCAAGCCCAAAAGACATTAACTTTATGTTTCCAGCACAGAAAAGCAGTCTTACAATTTTGGCTAGTACCTAGTACCTAAGTACACCTATATAAAAGCCAAAATCCTCACAACCTATTTACATTTTCAAAATCTTGGAAAAACTCATTAGAAGCAGACTGTATACTTTTGTAAGGTGACTGTAAAAAATAAGTAAGTTATAATTTTTTGGTCCACTTAAAATAGCAAGTGGAAAAATATCTGAGCTAAAAAGAAAAATAATTTTTTAAGACACTGATTTGAAATATACAAGGATACAGATCTCAGCTTCTAATATTCCCCACTAAAAGAAGTCAAGGCTTCTTAAAGAAATGGCTGATTTCAAGGCTAAGGCAGGGAAGGAATAAGATGAACCTAGATCAACTTGCTATGACAGAAAGTAAAAGAGTATTTTTTTTTTTTTAATTATGAAACCTTGTCAACGGAATATAGGAACCAGCCTAAAGGATATCAACTGGTCAAATACAGGACAATTGGTACATTAAAATAATGAAAACTTTGGCTTATGCCTGTTATCTCAGCTACTTGGGAGGCTGAAGCAGGAGGATTGCTTGAGAGCAAGTGTTCAAGACCAGCCTGGGCAACACAGCAAGACCTGATCTCTAAAAGAATTTTTTAAAAATTAGTGAGGCATGGTGATGCACATCTGTAGTCCCAGCTACTAGGGAGTTTGAGGCGGGAGGACCCCTTGAGCCCAGGAATTCAAGGCTACAGTGAATTATGATAGCACCACTGCACTCCAGCCTGGGCAGCAAGACCCCATCTCTAAAAAAATAATAATGAAAACTATTAATGAATTACACACTATTGAAGAAAAAAACTGAATCCATGATTCCACAGCTCAGATAGATAAGAAGGAAGAGCTCTTGCTGATAGTAAAATGTCACTGCTGATTGGTAAAGGTAGAGGGAGTGTGGAAAATAATCATTTTGCAACCATCATAATCAAAATCGGAACAGGCAAGAATCATCAGTAAATGTTGAATCATGAGGAGCATGATTGATGAGTAGTAGGATATTTGCATAGTCTTAGAGTGTCTTCATACAGATTACTTATTAGTTGCCAGCATAAAACAGCACTATACAGTGGAGAAATCTGACAGATAAAAGAGACAAAGAAAAATGACAATTAAATGCAATGTATGCAATATGTACTGGATTCTGTACTGGAAGACAAAACATTATAAGGTCAAATGAAAAAACTGGAATACGGATAGTACAGTATTATACTGATGTTAAATTTCCTCAGATTGATTTGAAATATATTCTACAGAATTTAGGGTAAAGGGAGATAATGTATGCAATTTTCTTTCAAATTGAACCTGAGTGCTAACCAGATTAAGCCTGCCAAACTTATCCTGCCTTGCTTGCTTTTAGCCACTTGCTTCTAGTTGATTTTAAAACCTACATAATTAAAAGTCACCTAGCTAAGCAATCCACTAGCTTCATTACAAGTAACATCTGATCCATGGTAATGGTTGCTTAAAGTTGTTTTTCAGGAACTAGACGGCAGCTCTAGTCCAGTTTCAAGCACCTAAGGCCATCAATCCTTCAATTGGGCCTGTGCAAATGTCCAAGAGGTGACCTTTGATGTCAGAGGGCCAAAACCTCCTCCCTCAGATCATGCTAATACTGCCATTTTCTAAACACGGGTCCTATGTACAACAGCCATGAAGCTTGACTACATATGTGCAGATCATCGACTATCTCACTTTTCCTTACCTCCAGTCACCTTTCCCCATGCCTTAGACCACTCTGATTCTTTACCCTATAAATATCCCTACACTCCATCTTCAAGGAGGTGGATTTGAGATCTGTTCTCCTGACTCTTTGCTTGGTTGTCTTGTGAATAAACCCTTTCTTTCCTGCAAAACTCATCTCAGTAATTAGCATACTGTGCAGCAGGAAGAATGAGCCTGGTTTGGTATCAAAATGGTTCAGAAAAAAAATTTGTGTGTGTGTATGGGGGACAGGGGGAGGGAATGAGAGAGAGAGAAAGAGAGAGAGAAGGAGAGAGGGAGAGAAGGAAAGAGGGAGAGAGGGAGCGAGGTAGCGAGAGGAAGCGAGATTTCTAATAATAAATCAATGGGGCAAACTTTTAACAATAGGTGAATAATTATAAAGGATATATGGATTTTTGTACTCTTCTTGCAACTTTTCTGTAAATTTGAAATGATTTCCAAATCAAAAGTTTGAAAAATACCTAAGAACTCCTAGAACCTCTTTATAAGCACTGCTATAATATCTTAATACATTCCATTTCTGTCAGTTTACCTGGGGGTGGATAGTGAAGGAGAGAGGAGGGAGACCCTAAATAATTATGGTTAGTTTCATTAGATAATCCTAGGCAGTTACGAAAAAGTACCCTCGAAAATATGAAAATAACAGAAAATGCTGCTTTCTAAGCATTAACTTGAATTCTAAAGATCAACATGGAAATGAAAGGTCACCTAAAAGAGATAGAATGGCACTTAGGCTAGAGAACACTCTCTAACTTGTTTAGGTTGAATTGATCCAAACAGGAATATGACCGGCTATTTGTTGCCAACATCCATCCAAACACTATCCAGGGAAGAGGAGACTATAGTCACAGACTTCTAAGTTTTCTGTCCCCATTGACAACATACAATAATCCCTAATTTCAAGAAGCATTAGACTATGTTAGTCTGATAGTAATTAAATATTTCACCTCAAATATTCCTTAGTTTGATTCCACAATCAAAAGCCTTCAGATTTTGATATGGCTTCCCACAAAGATCCGACAATAAGGAGTGAATGTGCTGATAATGCAGATAATGCATATTTTGTTCTATGTAACCTTTAACATTTCCTGTAAATTAATAAATTAGTGTGGTTTTAATATATCAGTCTAATGAACTTGTATAATGTGAGTCTGCATCACGACAGGTGATTTGTCTCATCTTGTACTGAAAAATCAGGTTTCTGCATCCAGAAAATTCGGATCTTGGCGTTTAACAAACATAATCAAAACAACAAATGCTCCTTTGTGAGGTCACCTCAGAAAGCAGGCCAATCTTTTCCCCCAGTGGTGATACTCACTAATCTGCAGATAGTAGAAATTACAGCAGATAATGCAAATTGGGTGACTCTAAACCCCTTCATAGTTTTCTTCTTATACTATAGGACCTGGAAAGCAAAACAAACTGCCACCACTATCACCACCAAAGAACCCTACATTTTTCTGACTCCCTTGCAATGAGGTAGCTTCTGCATGCAATGTGACTTCCACCAAAGAAACAACCCATGTGAGACTTAAAAGCAGAAGTCAGCAGTGTGAGACAGTGGCTGTACATAGAAGCTCAGATACACTAGGACAACTATGGTGAAGGTTATATTGTCTGATACCCAGTATCATTAAGTGCCAAGTGGTAAAAGGTGGAATGAATATGGTTTCTATGAGAATAGCCCCAAGCTGGGCTGTTCCTAGTATCCAGAATTGGTTCCCTGTTGTCCCTCACCCCTGAAATTCCAAAAGTTATCCAATACTTTGTCATAAATCATTTTTGCTTAAATCAGAGAAAACAGATCCAGTTGTCTGAAACTAAGAGCCTCTATCAATAGTCTGAAAGAACAAGTATTTTAAATTTCTATAGTGCTAGCCTATGAATTTCAGTCTGATCATGTTGATAATACTACCATTTATGAGTTAACATTTACTTGGGTGCTCAAATAATAATGTCAAGCATTGTGATAAATGATTTACAAACATTCTTATTAAATGCTTTATGTTCTGTGAAAGATCCCCTGGGAGAAGGACTGGCAGGGAAAATCACAGGATCACCATGAGAGGAAACCATTCTTAATAAATCAATTCATGGATATGCTATCTTTAGAAAAATTCAGATTATGTCCAATATGCTGAAAGAGGACAATTAAATTTAAAAAGTAACTTTACCATGTCGCTTTCCTCTCCAAACATTACAAGTTTTTGTACCTGGAGATTGATCTCTGCCTCATAGAAGGTTAGGCATGAGCAGTAATGTCGATCCGAGTCAATATCTGTCAGGACCACCACAAAGAACGTTGGCTGCTTCCTCTCTCTGGACAGCTGCCACCCATCAGGCTGACAAAACTAAATGGAATAGAAAAAAATTGTCACATTTTAAAAGTATAAAATTTATTATTCATTAACCTCTGAGAAACATTAAATATTCCCCCATTTAAAAAAATTTCTATCTGATGTAGTACGTCACTTTAGCCAACATTTTTAAAAAGTTCATGTAAAGATTCATAATCTAGAAAATTTTCATAAATGTACATACGTATTTTACAAAGACAGCCTAGATTTTCCACAGATGCCACTCTGGGATACCACTTCTGAGACCTAGATTGGCATATGTAGAAACACAGCATCAAAATGAAGGACTTTCCCCCAACTATGGGAAAAAAATCATGGAATAAGATAAGCTGGAGATAAAGTGCAAAGTATGTACCACTGAAGGAAAACAGAATTAAAAACTTCCTTATGAATCTAAGAGCCTTCAATTCAGTACAATGAAAAATACCTTGTTCGCCAAGACAGACCACATTCTGGGCTACCAAACACACTTTAACAAATTTAAAAGAAATCACACAATGTTTCCTCTCAAACCACAATGGAAGTAAACCAGAAATCAATAACAAAAGATGCTGGAAAATCTAAAATACTTGGAGGTTAAACAACATACTTTTAAATAACGCATGGGTCAAAGATGAAATCTCAAGAGAAATTTTTAAAATACTTTGAACTAAATGAAAATGAAAATACAAGTTATTGAAATTTGTGGGATGCAGCAAAAGCAGTAAAGAAAAATTTATATCATTGAATGTATGTGTTAGAAAAGAAGAAAGATCTAAAATCAGCAATCTAAGCTTTGACTTTAGGAAACTAGAAAACAGAGCAAATTAAATCCAAAGCAAGCTGAAAAAAGAAGAAAAGTCAGAGCCAAAATCAATGATATTGAAAACAGAAAATCAATAGAGAAAATCAACAAAATCAAAAGCTGGTTCTTTTGAAAAGATCAATAATATAAATAAGTCTCTAGCCAGGCTAATTAAGAAAAAAGGAGAAACAACACTACTTACTAATATCAGAAATCAAAGAGAAGACATCAATATAGATCCCAGGGACATTTATGAGATAATCCAGGAATACTGTGAACAACTCTATGCCCACAATTTAGATAATCTAGATGAAATGAACGAATTTCTTAAAAGATACAATCTGCCAAAACTCACACAAGAATCAGAATAGACCCATATTATTATAGAAATTGAATCAATAATGGATAACTCTCCAAAACAGAGAACACCAGGACAAGATGGAATCACTGGTAAACTCTACCAAACATTTAAGAAAGAAGTTACAGTTGGCCCTCTGTATCCGTGGGTTCCGCATCTGTGGATTCGAACAACCATGGATCAAAAGCATTTGGAGGCCGGGTGTGGTGGCTCACGCCTGTAATCCTAGCACTCTGGGAGGCCAAGGCAGGTGGATTGTTTGAGCTCAGGAGTTCGAGACCAGCCTGCCGTCTCTACTAAAAATAGAAAGAAATTAATCAGACAGCTACAAATACATAGAAAAAAAAAATTAGCCAGGCATGGCAGTGCATGCCTGTAGTCCCAGCTACTCGGGAGGCTGAGGCAGAAGGATCACTTGAGCCCAGGAGTTTGAGGTTGCTGTGAGCTAGGATGACGTCACGGCACTCTAGCCCAGGCAACACAGTGAGACTCTGTCTCAAAAAAAAAAAAAAAAGCATTTGGAAACAAAATTTTTTAAAAACACAATAAAAAAATGATCCAAATTAAAAATACAATATAACAACTATATACATAGCACTTTCATTGTATTAGATATAAGTAATCTATTAATAGAAATGATTTAAAGTACACAAGAGGATGTTTGTAGGTTACATGCAAATATTATGCCATTTTACATAAGAGACTCAACCATCCTCAGGTTTTGGTATTCCGGATGGTGGAAGGGACAATTACACACCAATTCTCTGCAATCTGTTTCAGAAGACAGAAGCAAAGGGAATACCTCCTAACTCATGAATCCAGCACTACCTAATCCCAAAAGCAGACAAAGATACTACAAGAGAAAAAAAACCCCACAGACCAGTATCTCTCACAAACATAAAAGCAAAAATCCTCCACAAAATGTTAGCAAATTGAATTCAACAATGTATAAAAAGAACATCGCGACCAAGTAGAATTTATCCCAGGTATGGAAGGATGGTTCATCATTGAAAAATCAGTTAAAGCAGTACATCACATCAACAGGCTACAGAAAAATAAGCACATGCTCACATCAAAAGATACAGAAAATGCATTTGGCAAAATCCAATACCCACTGATGCTAAAAACTCTCAGAAAACCAGAAATAAAGAGGAACGTCCTCAACTTGATAAAGAACATCTATAAACCTACAGCTAACGTCATACTTAAATGATGAAAACTCAAAGATTTCCAACTAAGATCAGGAAGAAAGTAAGGATGCCCCTCTCACCACTGCTTCTCAATACTGTACTGGATATCCTAGCTAATGCAATAAAAAGAAAAGGAAACAAAAGATATACATATTGGAAAGGAAAAAACAAAACATTTTGTTCACAGATAACGTAATTGTGTACAAAGAAGATCTGAAAGAAATGACAAAAAAATAAAAAACAAAAACCAAAAAACCCCAAAACCTCTTAGAACTAATAAGCAACCATAGCAAAGTTCCAGGATACAAGATTAATATATAAAAATCAATCACTTTCCTATATGCTAGCAATAATCAAGTGGAATTTGAAATAAAAATACAGTGCTATTTATATTAGCACCACACAAAATTAAATACCTAGGTATAAATCTAACAAAATATGTATGAGACCTATGTAAGGAAACCTTCAAAACTCTGATGAAAGAAATCAAAGAAAAACTAAATGAAATGGAGAGAGATTCCAGGTTCATGGATAGGAAGACTCAATATTGACAAGATATCAGTTCTTCCCACTTTTACCTACAGATTAAATGCAATCCCAATAAAAATCTCAGCAAGTTATTTTGTGGATATCAACAAAATGATCCTAATGTTTATAAGGAGAGGCAAAAGGCCCAGGATAGCCAACATAATATTGAAGGAGAAGAACAAAGGTGGAGGACTGACACCACCCAACTTCAAGACTTACTATAAAGCTATAGTAATCAAAACAGTGTGGTATTAGCAAAAGGATAGGCAATAGATCAAAGGAACGGAATAGATAGCCCAGAAATAGACCCACATAAGTACCTTCAGCTGATCTTACATACACATGGAAGGTGCTTAGAAAAGCTCCTGGCTCAAAGTTCAGTGGATTTAAATGTTTGTTATGATTATTACCCACTTCAATCCAACCTCAGTTTCTATCACTGTCCATTTGACACTGTCTTTCTCCTTCTGTACAGACCTTGGCTAAAGCCTGCTCCACTTTTCATTGTCTTATTGTCTTATTTTCTTAGTCTAGAGACATCAGAAAAGATCTAGATGATTTCCTACATTTGGAGAGAGATATTATGTTCATAGCTTCTTTAGAGAATGAAAAATTCCATCTTTAAGCAGACATAAGGAATATATGAAGAAATAGCATGAAAATTAAAGATACCTCATTTAGCCAATAAGTGAAAACATTTCTCTCTAGTACGTTTTTAGTTAGAAATGGCAATTCATTCAACACTATTTTTTGATCATTTAAATATCATTTATTCTACAAAATCTTCTCTGAAACATCCCAGTTTCTCTAGCCCTCTCCAAACCAAAGAATCAGGCAGTCCCTCTTCCTGCACTCCTAAACCATTTTTATTATAAATAACAACACAATAAAAATAACCTGTCCTCTATATTACTGTAGAACTTCTTATCTATTCTACTAATCTGGTATAGAAAAGTTGACATCAGTGTCTTTATCTTTATGGGTACAGTCATCCCTTTGTATCTTTGGGACCCCTTGTTGATTCATAAAACTGTCGATGCTCCAGTCCCACAGTTAGTCCTGAGGAACCTGCAGACACAAAAAGTCAACCCTCTGTACCCACACATTTTTCTCTCAAAAATCCATCTATATTAAGTTCCATGACATTATATCTCAGGCTTATTTGTAACCATAATACACCTTTTATTATTCTAGAATAGCAGCTCTCAAAGTACAATATATAGAATCACGGAAGTCCCAAGGTCAAAACTATTTTCATAATACTAAAATATTGGTCATTTCTTTCATGTGAGTAAAGCTGCCTATTAAAGGAATCAAAGCAGTGGCACCAGATTATGCTAGTAGTCACTGAATTCTTCACAGCTGCATATCTGCAATTTTTTAATAAGTCAGTTTCGGTTAAGAAGGCCCTTGATGAAGCAATAAAGGTTTTGATTTCATTATAACTCAACCCTTGAGTACGTAACTTTTAAAACCTGTTTCAAATAGTAAGCACATATTAAGCACTTTTGCTACATGTGCTACATGATAGTTGTCTAGAGAAAAAACACAGTTAAATTGTGAACTGAACTAGATGCTTTTAAGGAGTATCATTTTTTACTTGAAAGAATAACTGACAAAATACCCTTTGTATACAAACATACATTTGGCAGATATTTTCTCAAAATAAATAAACTGGGCCTGTCATTTCAAGATAAAAATCTGAGACTATTTAATACCAATGATAAAATACGAGCTTTCAAGTACCATCATAAGTCTGACAGTTTTTAAACACTTTAAGACTTTTCTGACAAATATGACAGTAACATTAATTAATGTTATATTTTAAATGTTATATAATGACGTGCTAATATTTGGAAGATCTCTATAACTCACTGAACCCATATTTGCCAATGACCATGCACGTAAAAGATCCATTCAAAGTGCAAGGCAGACCAATACATCTTAATGTAATCAAATATGAAAAGTTCATTGATGTGGTTACAGATACCACATTGCAATCCATCTTTAAGTTTCTCTGGGAAAAAAAAAGAAACTACTATTTGTTGAGTGTTGGCATAGTATTCAAAGAAGAGTATCCATAGTTACCTAAAAAGTCTATTAAATATCTGTTCCTTTTACAATTACACATTTG